AATACATTTAATAAAAAGTACGAGACTAAAATACATCAGTTAAAAAGTACCAAAGCTAGAAAATGAAATGCTTAAACACCAAATAATTTAAAACTATAAAACCTAAACATATATATATATATATATATATATATATATATATAATATCATAATTAAATCCTTACAAATTTAATTATAAAAGAAAAAATAAATTAGTGGGTCCCATTGACCTCCCCATGATGCGTACAATGACCATTAACCTCTATTTCATTAACCTCCCATTAACCTCCTTCACAATGCATGATGCATGTAATGGCTCCCAATAACCTCCATTGGAGATGCTCTTATATACTAAAATAGATAAAGAAAAGAAAGATTATAAAAATTTCTAAATAAAGAAATAAATTATTATTTTAATCTGATAAGAACTATTAAAAATAAATGTTTAAAAGGAATAAATATTATTTTATTAATCTTTTAAATATTTTAATAATATTAATATTTGAATTGGTAAAATAAAATAGATATAGTTTTCCAAGATTTTAATTTTTAATACTAAAATATAGCATACATCTGTTTGAATTCAAGTACCCATAGCATCCCTTTCTGTCGTGGCACCGAAATATGTGGAGTCCAAACTTAAAATAAACGGCGCGGGAAATACAAATGTTTTACCTTCAAACTATAAAATTCTGCAAATACAAATGTTTTATTCTGCAAATACTCCGTTCAGCAACAATGGCGAGAACCAAACAAATTGCTAAACGGAGTGTATCCAAGCACAAAATCGGTGAATCTTCTTTCTCTCTATCGCTGATTTGAAATTGAATCGTTATGCTATCATCTTCTCCTTTTTGTTTTTGGTTAAAACCCTAATTTTGTTTCATTTTCGGAAATTGCAGCTGTGGGACCTTATTCAACGAACACAGTAATGATGTTTCTCGATTATTTTAATTTAAAGTGATTTTAATTGTTTTTGTGGTTGGATTTAGCGACTGATTTAGATGTAGTTTGATTTTCATTTTGTGTTTGTATTTGCGTCAGCCACCAAGAACAAGTCCAAGGAAAAATCCAGCAAGTGAGTAATTGTATACATTTTGATATTTGGTGTGTACTGGGATATGGTAAATTTGAAGCTTTTGGTTGTATAGGTTCCGCAGGAGAAAACAAGAGACCACACCGTCATAAGCCTGGGACTCAGGCCCTTCGTGAGATTCGGCGTTTGCAGAAGACTGTTAATCTTCTCATTCCAGCCGCTCCTTTCATTCGAACTGTAAGACGGAATTTATTTTATATACCAGTTATGTACATAGATTCTCATAACCATATCAACTGCATTGTGTTTATCCAATTGTCTTTTAAATCAGCAAAGTAAAGTCAGGAATGTGGGAGTTTAAGTTCTCTATAAATCGAAAGAAGGTTGTTGCTTGTGGACTAAAGCATATGCCATCAAAGTATCAACTACTGGGCACCTAGATACGTGCAAGTCCACCTCAACTGGACTGGAGGACATAATTGATATGGCCATAAGAATCTAAGTACGTGACTGATTCTTTTTTTTTTCCAAGGCTGATAGTGAAGCAATTATGAATATTCTATTGTCAGTTTATATATTTTACTGTGATCCATGTTGAATTTCTGTGGAAGGACTTGTGTTTATGCACATTAAATAGTTACCAATGCTTAATTTGTTCGGTGAGTAAATTGTGAATTTTTTTCGCTTTTCCTGTTTTAACTAATCTCATGTGAGAGAGGAAGGAAAAACATATATTAGAAGAGCAAAGTCAGGAATTTATGTTTGTTTCTCTCACTATGCCTAGGTCAATTTTTATCTATCTATGGTATATGATTCCAGGAGTACAATCTAGTTACTGTTGGTAAATTATGTTCTAATACTGTTAAACTTTGCTTTGGTAAATTGTATCTTAACCAATGAAATTAGAGTGATTAACTTTTCAAATGATCATACTTGGATTTTTTCGCAAACAGATAGACAATCTTGCAAAATGCAAAAAGAAAAACTACACTTGCAAGAATGAGCGGTTGTTGAGAAAATAAGGTTCCAAGCGTGATCTTTTCTGCTATGTTTTCACAATTGACCCAAAATCACTTACAAAGTACAGTGGATGTTTGACAGTTTTGCAAGAACAAAGATTTATTTGCAATAAGAAAACCAAGTATGATGATTGGGAAGTTACTCACTTGAAAGAAGTATGATAAGAGTGCATCAGAAGTTTTCAAGTTGGGGTCAAATTGCCTAATGTTACTGGATTTGCTTTTGTCTTGTACCCAGTATATGGCGATGAGTCTTGAAGGTCATTGGTTCGAGTTACTGAAATAAACCCTTTGAAAAAATGCGATAGAAATGTTACATCCATAGAGTTCTTGAGCCTTTGTGCACTGAGGTTGTCCACGTAGCCAGTATATAACATCAAAGCTTGTTTTTTGAAGTACTAGTTACATAATAAAGGGAACTTGGCATGATCTTGTATTATTGTTACACACTCAACACCTCAGGTTTAAATTGGATGAAGAGCCGATATAGGAATGATGTTAAAAGCTTCTGTAGCTGTAGTGGTATAAGAGGTATCAAGTACATAATTTTATTAAAGGTCTTTCTCATTGCTGTAATTTTTCTAGATTACGAGGACTGCATCGGATGCAAAAAAATGATTTAGAGTAAAATACTACGATTTTCAGCTGACGATGCTCTTGTTTGATTTTTTGTTTGAAGAAGATGGTGTTAGAAAAAGGACTAAAATACCTTAAGGGGGGGCATGTGAGGCACATGGGAAATCTAACAGTTACATACTGATGACGGTGTTAATTTGGGTGTTATTTGTGCATGGAAGCATGTCCAAGGACTGACCTGAGAGTCAAATTGTTTAGTGGTAAACGCAGTACGGATTACATAGTCCATCGGCAATCGTTATGCTTCACTCAATGATTTAATATGCTGCAGTTTCTGTTTTCTTACCATAACCTTTTTGTGGTAATTTTTCCTTTTTACAATTGGTCATCATAGCTGGAGAATTGCACAGTAAAGCGTTCTCTGGTTGTAAACTCTTGCAGGTAAAAGAGATCAGCAATTACTTTTCCCCAGAAATCACTCGCTGGCAAGCTGAAGCTTTACAAGCACTTCAGGAGGTACCATAAGCTTGCCACTTCATATTTGTTAAAATCTGTTTTCTAAACCTTCACTCCTGATTGATTTGAAGTTTGTCCTTCCTATACAGTCGAAATTTGAACTTCAAAATAAATCTGGCAAGACAGCTAATATAATTTCTTATGTTGGCCTCTAATCCATCTCTAACATGGTATTTAGCTGTAGATAGGCCGTGTTGAGATGTAGTTCAAGTGTTTAACTGAAATATTAGAAGTTCTTTAGCAGTTAAGTTTACCTTCTGGTTATAAGGTGACTTGAAGTTTTTCTCTGAATCATGAAAACCTCTTGTCACGAGTTGGGTAGGGGCCATGTGATTGTTCATACCTTTAGGCTCAGGCTGTTAGGCCCACTTGAGGTTGTTATCGTTCAAGGGATTGAAGACCTCTCTCAGTCCTTTTGGTTCCCTTATGTGGCCTACTTCCCTTTTTGTCGACTAATTTGATTCTAATCTTATTAATTTTTGGGCATCAAACCATGCCCCTCATGATTCACATAAGATGAACGGAGAATGACTAACTTTAAGGGCCTGGCTCATCGAACCTAACCTTTTTGTGTATGTACTTTTTGTTTCTAATTTACAACTTCCAGAAGTTAGATTATGCATAATGTTGTGCATCACTTTGTATGCCGTAGACTAATAATCTTGTTGATTTTGGGAAAATATATCTTCTAATCAAGCTATGGTTTACTATGTAGACATATTTGTCTATCTTATCGTGTAGTAAAACACCCAACACTTTTGGACAAGTTTGCCCTTGATGAGTACTAACATAATATCATTTTTACATGACAAATAGGACAAGTGCCTTTCCTTTTTGACCGGAAGATGGATCAATGGGCAAAAATTGTTAATTCATGAGATGCAATAGCACACAGCTACCTATTCCTTTCGTCTTGTGACAGTTGCAACTCTTTTCTTTTGGGATGTTCTATGAAAATTTTGATATTTTTTAAATGAAGTTTTTATGTTGAAATTAATTATTTGCTAATTATCATCGTTACAAGTAAACTGATGGTTTGATTTTGGTTCACACATTTTATCTACACGTCTTTATTGAAGTGTATTTTGTATATTTGACAAATAGTTTTAACAGTTTCTTATAGAGCATACACCAACCCAAACATGGCAAATTTATTTGGACCCGGGATTAACTTTTATAGTAAATTTGTTTGGCATGGTAAAAAGTATAACGGGTTTTTTCACATTTTTGGTTGACATGTAAATATTTGAACTAGGTCTCGTGTAGCAGGCCCGGTGTGCATCCATAGCTAAAGGAGATGGGGAGGTAGGGAGCTAGAGAGGTAGAGGGTGCGAGATAGACTAGGGGTGTGCAGTTTGCTTAAATTGGTTATGCTTCTGTTGTTGCTGCTTATGTATGTATGCTGTTGCTTACTCTTAACCAGCTTTACAAAACCTTATCATATCCGACTTTCTTTCTTTGTCACACTTTTCACAAGCTGAGTTGGGTTTTTCATAGAAACAACTGCTCTAATTAAGTAGAAGTCAGGTCTGCATACATCATACCCTCCCTAGACCCCATCTCGAGGTGGGATATACGGGATTCGTTTGGTTTATGTACTCTTTGAAGTTTGAACCACTACACTGTAGCCTAGTTGAACTTTCCGACCATCAGATTGCAAGTTACATAATTTGAAGTTGGGTTTTTTTATTACTTTGACCCAAACCAAACATTTTTCCCATGTGGTGTCAGGTTTCTAAATGTTACCATCAAACATTTAGTTTGGTAGCATTTATGCCCATCTTTAAATATAATAACTTGAAGAGTTCATGGGTATGACTTTGTTATGCAGGCAGCAGAAGATTACATCATTCAATTGTTCGAGGATTCAATGCTATGTGCAATACACGCAAAGCGTGTGACCGTTAGTAAGTTTTCCATAAACTTGATTTGTGTATGCGTTTTGGATTTGAGGTAAAATCTGGCTACATCTTAGGGCCTGTTTACTTGTGGCTTAATGAGCTTACCGGATAAACGGGCTTATTCGCACAGCCATTTTAGGCTGTTTACTTCGAGCTTATTCGCCCAGACAGGGGCTTATTTGGTTTGGTTTGGTATATGTGTTATTGGGGCTTTAGGAAACCTCTTTACCCCTTGGGGTAGAGAAAGGTCTACGTACATCGTACCCTACTCTATGTCGGACTCATTCGGTTGTATCACTTGTCATTTTGCACATATTTTTCAGTGAAAAAGGATTGGGAGTTGGCACGGAGACTTGGAAAGAAAGGACAACCCTGGTAATTATGCTCTTCTGGGATGCAAATTGATTTATGAGATCAAAATGTGAGGTGTGGTAGATGAGTCATCATTACTTTTTTTTTTTTTTTTTTACAAAAAGGAAAAAAAACACAAATTAAGAAAATGTATTTAGAAATTTGATGTTTAGGAACGTTACAAAAATACATTTAATGCAAGTGAAATTACATAAGTAAGATTAATGTTTTCATCATTTGTAAATACAGTGAAGTTGATGTTGTATGACTAATGGATATCGGTGGATTGTATCTGTATGAGATGGAGAAATTGGGGCAGCCCCCGGTCCAGGACCAATAGGGACTGTTATGGCTCGAAAGTCTCAGACCAGTTACATATCTTATGGAATTCAATGCCTAGTTTCATGACTGGTTATGTGTAGTCTTGATTTTTCAAGAAGAATTTTATATTTTCATAAGTTATAATACAAGATTTTCAACTTCTTTTTCAAAAAATTTGAGGTTTTTTTCCTTGTAAGTTTTCAAGATTTTATCTACTTAAATGTATCATTTAAAGTGTATTTTACTTGATTTCAAAAATCATATTCGTAGAAACATGTATAGCGTTTTTGTGTAAAAACATGTATAATGTCATCAATACTGTGAGAGATTAGGACCGGTAACTAGGCCTAGATTGGTCCTAGAATTTTTGGTCATAGGGACCACAGGCCCAGTTTTGATGAGACCGATTTGGGACCGGCGTGGCCGTGGTTGGACCGATTTTTGGCCATCTCTCTCATGGTTATTGATGGACACATTCGAATAATCAATATGTCATAAAGTGTTTACATTTTTATTTTAGTTTATTTTAAGTTAATTGTTTACTTCCAAAAGCAAATACTCCTTTCCATTATTACCCTTACTTATGAGATAAACTTTGTATTTTTCGAATTTGAAGAGAAAAGAAATGAACACAAATGGAAGGAAAAGAAAGGAAAGGAAAATAATATTTTTATTTGTGTTCTCAAAAGGGGAAAGAAAGTGAAGGAAAAGAAAGAAAACCATTTTTTGTGTTCTTAAAGAGGAAAGAAAGGAAGGGAAATATGTCGTTTTTACTAATATACCCCTTAAGAGTATATCCTTTAATATAAAATAATGGGTAGTTTTGTAATTTTAATAAATTTTTAAAGAGTTTTAATTTTTTTTCCTTTTCTTTTCTTCCACCTTTGGGAGGAAGGAATCTTATAATTATTTTTATTTCCTTTTTTTCTCTTCTAAAAAATGTTTTTTCAAGAACATGTGTTTTATTACTTTCCGCTCATTTCCTCCCTTTCCTTTCTTTGCTTTCGTAAATTTTCTTTTGAGAACACTGTTAATCTCAGATCTCTCAATAACACTAATATTTAAGCTATGAATAACCTAAATATGTCGTGTGGATGAATAAATGAAGAACACTCAAGAACACAAATATGAGTATTCAAGAATATACTTGAGTGCCGAACGGTTCACTTTATTCAAATGATTAGGCGGAAAGCATAAAGGATTACATGAAACGTAAAGCCTATTTATACTAGAAAGCTAATTAAGGAGATTGCTATTTATGGAAGATATTTAGCAAATCTCTTATGGAAAGGAAAGCTATTTAGACATATGGAAAGTAAATAAAGCAAAATAAATCTTTGGAGAATCCAGCTGTCGATTAGTCATCTTTAGCTGTCTTCTATGGGGCGTTGTTCAACCATGTCTTGATATCTTCTTCATCGGGTGCCTCTGGTTGAACTGTTCCCTCTGGTTGAACTATTGTGGAAGACTCCAAGTGTTGGTAACCACAGGGGTTATGGAGATGCAAATTTCATCGCACCTCTGGTCGTTCATCGGCTTTCTGGTTGTATTGGACACTTAGCATTTTTACCTTAAAGTCTTCCATCGGCCTTGTGCTCTTTCACACTTGTTGTTTTTCATTACTTTTACAAATATCAGTTATGGGGTCTAACAATCTCCCCCTAAGTAATGAAATGACAAACATTGGCTAATATATGAACAATCAAAGAATAAGTGAAAGACAAAGGCTAAACTAAAAGAAAAACATCCTTTGCCAAATTTTTTCATTGGACTAGGTGTTGGATGAATTCTTACAAAAATGATGGAATGAAATTATATAAAATTACTTCATTCATGGTCTCCTCTTGATATCTTCTAGAAATGCATCATCAGTCCTCTGAATCGAATGACTGTGGAGATCTCATGAATGAGTTGTTGACCTTCTCTCATAGGCACATGAGGTCTGCCAGTCTCTCTCTGATGACCTTCTGAAACCATTCAAGTGTTGAGGTTGAATACTTGAAGGCCTCAGTCAGTATGCAGAATTTCTTTACACCAAACTTATTCTTGAACACCAATCCAAGCTCTGGTTGAGTCAAGACTGAAGCAGATCTCTTCTCCTGTAGGCGTAGGAAGTCTTCGTCTGGAGGAGTGCAAGAGAGTTTTTCGATGCCAAGTTCAAGAGCGATTTGAAAGTCGCTCTTTGCCCTGAACTTTACCAAGGTCTCCATCGCTTCTACCATCGCTCAATTTGCCATCCCCTATCTGATCCCTTGATCATGTCGTTGAGCTGTGTGTCCATATAAGTCGATCAAGTCCCATGGGTTGAGATTGATCAAGTCATTGTCATTGAAGATGCTGACCATCCGATGTGCTCGTTCCACGGTGTACTTGATGTATTTGACTGCTCGGTTAGCAAAGGTTCTCATTTTGATGTTTAGAACCGTCTTGATTCCATCGTTCGAGAAGACGACTTGTGATGGAGAGCTCATTTGTCTTACGAACATGTGGCACAAGAGATCTGTCGACTCAGGAGAGAGCATGGGAGGATTGAAGACCAAATTTTCATCGCGATCATGGTAAAGGTACTGATGGATATTCTCCATCATTACTGGTTCCCTTGGGGGGCATCTCTGGACGTCTCCTCAGCAACTCTAAGTTAGCAATAATCTCATCGACCACGCCTTGAGGAGGAGGTTGCCTTGATGAGGAAGGAATGTCCATTAGCACCTGTGATGATTGGGTGATGGATGGTTGATGTTGGGTAATGGGTTGTATTTGGGTTAAGGGTTCTGTTTGGGTTAGGGGTTGTGTATGGGTTATGGGTTGAGGTGATGGAATGGCTTCTGGTTGTGATGGTTCAGGTTAGGTTGGCTCTGGTGAGGTATTTCTGGTTTTATGGGATCTGGTTGGGTTAGCTGTTGTTGAGGTAAGGTGGGTTGGGTTATGATGGGTTCTGGTTGAGTGGGTATGGCGATGGAAGGTTCTATATGAGGAGGTGTTGGTGATGGAGTAAAAGGTTGATTTATTTCTGGTTGAGGGGTAGGTGGATTTTTATCGGATGAAGAACTCACCACGATTGGTGAGAACTCATTGGTTATGGGTGATGGTTCATAGGTGCAAGCTAAGGGAACATGTACATTATGTACATCTTCAGAGGGCTGAGCCTCTGGTTCCCTAGCTTGGGTTCCTTGGGAGGTTGATGTTTGGTGGCTTTGAGTTGGTGGTGGTGGTGTTGCAGCGGTTTCCATCGAATGTTGTGCCTAGTTCTCCCCCTCATGAGGACCTAGACTATGATCATCTTGGTCAGGACTCATGCCTCTACCTCTTACTGCTCTAATACCACTTGTTGGTCTCAGCCGGTCTACAAAAGTTTAGAGGTGATCAGTTTGTAGAGAGGAGGGATGAATACAAACACGATAACTTTCACTTTTAAAAATATATATTTATATAGAAGGATCAATACATATTGTTCGCGGAATAGACAAGGTAAAGAAAGACCTATCAAAAACAATCTTGAGCTACACACAAATATACTTAGCAAATATAAGAAGATTTACGGATAAGAATTAAGACTAGAAGAGAGTTCTTGGGAGAGCTTCTTAGAATTATAGAGAGAGAATTATAATCTGCTTGAGTCTCCCTTGTATGTGTATATATTTGTTGGGTAGAGGCAGAACACACTCAAGCCTTTAGAAGAAAGCTTGTCCTTTGCTACAGTAAATTATATTTTTGTCTATCAATGAGCAGACATCCTTTCATAGAGTTGGTGAGCACTAGAGTCGGCTAATCGGCTCCGTGCTGTACTATACTCCAGGGAGGGTATGCGTTAGTCCTTTGTGTATGGAAAGGCATGATAAACAAAATCGTACATGGCAAGATTCATTTGATTGTTGAATGCTGGAATGACGCTGGAGGTCTCTTCAACATTCATTGAAGCTTGTGCAATCTTCACACATATGTTGACCAGGTTCTAATCACTGAATACCGCTTCAGATCACGAGCGCACTAGTCACTAATCTTCAGTTTCAGTCTTCGACATTTTCTTAAGATTCTTGGGTGTGAGTTTTGTCTTCTTGAAGTAAAATTGTCGTTGTAGAGTTACAATACATGTTTCAGCGATCACAAAAATAATTCGGCGAAGATTGCTAAAACTGAATAAATAGAAACATAATACTTCGATGGGTAAAAAGGATTCTTATCAAATCAATGAGTAAGAGGATCAACAATAGGGGACCAAACAAAAGGTGGAATATAGATCCTCAAAAGAAAAGTTTCAAGAGGTCAGGTCAATACTCCAATTATGGCCAACATTTGAAGAGGGTCAGAAAGTGTCACATCTACGGAGAGACGGGACATTATGCTAAAGAATGCAAACAAAGGATGTCCAGAACCCCAACTGCGGATACAGTAAAGGGTATTCAAAACCTTGGGGCAAACCTACACATGGATGAGATCGACATGATTTCTGAGGCTTCAACCAGGATTATGGCGAGTCGAGGTGGCTGGTACAAAGACACTATTGCCACGGTTCATGTGTATGGCACCAGATCTATGTTTATTACCTATGGACTAGTGAGAGAAAGAAAGCAAGTGATAGTGGCAAACAACGGCCGAGCGAATGTTGTCGGTATGGGTACAGTATTATTGAAATTCTCTTGCGGCAAGACTGTCAATCTCAAAAATGTTCTTCACGTGTCTTCTATCAACAAGAACCTAGTTTCTGCTTCTAAACTCGACGAA